GATAAAGGAAAAACTACGAAAACCATAAATTTTTAGTTACATCACATAATATATATTTTTTTAATAATTTTAAACTTACTACCCATTTCCTCATAAACGCGTAGAGGTATTAAATTGAAATTCATACCAAATACTCAGGTCTATAATACCTTTAAGCTGTAACAAAATCAAACTTCTATGTCAACGCAATCAAAAGAAACAGCAATTTAAGCTGCATATTTTGAAACTCGCAAGTACTCGCAAGGGAATCAAAACCTAAAGGGTACTTCCAGTCGACCTAGAATCTTGAAATTTGGCATGAAGCAACGTTTTATAGCACACATAAAGGAAAAATTCCGAAAACCTTAAATGTTTAGTTACATTACAAAATATATATTTTTTTAATAAATATAAACTTATTACTTTTTTCCTCATGAAATCTATGTCTAATCTATCTATATCATTTATGCTATCAAGTTGAAATTCATTTAAAATACTTAGATCTAATTGCCTTTAACCCGTGAAAAAAAAAAATTCTAAGTCGACGCAAAAACCACTTATATCACCACTTCCCGTTGACATAGAATCTCGAAATTTGGTAAGAAGCAATAGCTTACAGCACAGGTAACAGAAAAATTTCGAAAAGCTTAAAATTTTAAGTAGTTATACCACCAAAAAAATTGTGATTGTAAACGATAAAGAGATCTTTGTCTTAAATTTATGCTCCTCCATCTTTCCCCATTGTAATGTTATGAATTTCATTTTGCAATAAAAATACCATAGTTATGACTCGATTGTCGTAATGAACGAACTTTGTAAACCTTGCAGGTTTGTACGGAACCCTCGGTGCGCGAGTCCGACTCGCACTTGGCCGGTTTTTTTATTTTATAAGTAGTATTTAAAAATGTAATTTGTAGAGAATTTTAAATAAATATATGTATTAAATAATAAAGCCGCAGGGCACCTTGAGGCGAGGTGACGGGTATTAGCGACCCCGCGGTCTACCATCATCCCGAGTGCTCCAGAGAGAAGTCACCGTTCCTTATTCTCCGGCTTGCCTTAATTGGCTGGCTGAAGCCGAGTTCTCGCCGGAATGATATCTGATAGACCTAGTTTTATCCAACAGGGAATGGCTGGACCTAGTTGTAGCCGGCATAATGAAGGTTAGACCTAGTTTTATCCGAAAACAATCGGTTCGTACTAGGTTTAACCAAGAGTCAGTGCCTAAAACTAGGTGTAGCCGCATTTCGGGTATTAGCCGTAACATATATACGAAATATTTAACGTATAATCTTACACACATTTATAATGCATTAAGTACATCGAGTGCATAAAGCATATTAATTAATTAAATAAAAATATATGTATCATAAGTAGTTACTGTTATTTGTTATACTTATTAAGAAGATCATCATCAAGATTACAAAAAAAATAACATGTCTGTTCCTACTTCAGTATCTCTTATTTCAAAATCGCTGCATATCTATCTATTCACTACTCTGCTCTATAAATCGGGGGTCAACAAAAGTAGGCCGCAAAATAGCTGACTTTTTAGTCATAACATATTATGATATATTGTTCCAGATATTAATATTTTGGGTGACAGACAACTTCCTCATGTACCATCCACGAGGAGTGAGCTCGAAGATAAAGACTAAGGTGCGTATGTTTATTAATAGAGAGTTGCACAAACATTTTATATTATACGTCACAAATAGACTACCTACCATCGGGCATACTACGTTGCAGCATGCTCACGCAGTCGTATATTTATTCAACTGCATAGAGTTATGTACTTATCTGCAGTCGAACTGGGGCACCGGCCCAATGTAAAACTGAATTTTTCATGCAGTTAGCGATGGACGGGTTAAAATGCCACCCATCTAGCGACTACTGGTACTCATTTCGATGTCTGATTAGGTAATAATATCGATCTGAACATCTCTCCCTTGATGTACCGAAATTGTGTGTTGCCTTATTTTGGACTATTAATAACTGCATTAGTAATGTAATCCAAAATGATACTGTGGAATGATCTATCGTCGGCGGTATTTCCGAACCTATACGATCTTCAAACCTTCGAGAAAAGAGCGTATTCCTTTTTAAAAGGCTAACTTGTGGCTCCACTGGTGTTGCGGGTGTCTATGAGCGGCGCCGATCGCTTACCATCAGGTGATCCGGCTGCTCGTTTGCGTCCTATTCCATTAAAAAAGTATTTTATGTCATTTTTATCCTCATTGTAAATGATGTATTTCAATATTCTGGTTCGTATTATCCTTACAGGTGAGATACCAGTCCATTAAAAAAGAAAAATCAGGGTCCGAAGAAGAGAGAGATTCAGCGGACGAGCGACTTTTGGGAGCCAGTGTATGACCTTACAGGAAGCCCAGTCTATGTCGGGCTTAAAAGTGTAATCTCTTAGAATATCTCTTCATTACTGACTTGTCATACCAATATCAACTGGCAACACAGCGGTCAGTTAGTTTAACGAGAATTTCATCGATTAACGATTGATATTTGACTTTTGAACAAATTATCGTTAATCGATAAAAAAAATTACTTCCATTTACTCGAATTGTAATCGATATAATTATGTAAAATTGTGTTTGTATATATTTGTAAATTAAAAGTTTAAAAGGTATGGCAAGTTCTGTAGTAGTGTGCAGTCCAAATAGGAGTGACGTTCCGCTATTTGTGATATTTCGTTAGGCGTTAGACCAACTTCGCTAGTGCAGTTCTTGTAAAAAACTATATTTAGTCTTTAAAATACGTCTTTTTCGATAGAATAATAAAATGCTACTTTACCAAAATTTATTCTTGTGAAATGAGATTGGTAGCAAGCGAAGCTAGTCCTATTCATATTTGGACCGCATGCTGGGTAGTTAACGCGGTGTATAAAATATTATATTAATGTAACATGGCACGTATTAAGTACCTACCTAAGATAAATTTAGAATTTTGAAAATTACGTATAAAATGTACCTACTTCCCTTAACTATATCAAATCACAATTATTTTAGTTTTTATAAATGCTTATTGTATTATATAACAATTATATAAATATTGTAAAAAGACTTTATATCGATATTGTTGCTTTTTTTGAGGGCAAGACTTGGTAGATGGGACGATGTTGCTATCATAGTATATTTGCTATGTATAGTGTGGCCATAATTTGTATAGATTATTTTTTGTTGTATTGAAATGAGGTATTTGTATACTAATACGAAGGTGGACATAATTCAACGCGTAAGGAATTGAGCATGTCGCTTTACTAATCAGAGCCGAAATAAAAGTATAAAATGTACATGTACAAATATGCCATTTTGGTTCAAACAAATTTGTATTAAATAAAAAATATTTTTATACGTTTTACTTTTGAAAATATGATAATTTTAATGTTCCTACACGGTATAGTACTTAGATCCTCATAGTAGTGCCATGTATTTTGATTTTTTACCTAAATTATGTGTACACTAACATCGAATTAAGACTGAAAAAGTCGTGGAAAAATCTTATCTTCCTAGAAATTCCATTCAATTCCAATTTTTTAGATTAGCTTTACACTTGTTTTAGTATTGCATCTACATCACGTTAAGGTAATGGCAAATAGCGTGAGCCAAATAAAAAATTATATATGCCAAAGTTGCCAGTCTTAACCTATTAATTTATTGCACGTGGCAGTATTGGAGAGGCAACTAGAGCGCAAGCATATTATTTAAAACACGGACTATTTTATATATAAATCTTTACATTAAATTTACTCATACATATGACTACGTTTCGTCTCAATAATTGTGTAATTTATTATGGATGCAAATAAGTTAAATTCTGAAATACTTGACTACGATCTGATTTGGTTCAGCAAAAAGTTATGATATTACTAATTATAGAATGAGTATTTATGTATGTAACGACTATTTTTATGGAAAAATCATATAAATGATTGTGATGTAATGTAAATATTGATAATAAGGACAAGTTTTATAAAAACTACGATGTATATATGGATCCATATAACATAACATATTTGTGCATCTGTTCATTGTTTGTGCGAATATAATTCACCTTACGTGTTCATTGGAGTTTCATTTTTATAACACTAGGAAAATCTACGTACGGAAACATAAATGTCCCTTGTATATTTTGGAGTCCGTTTCTACACAGTGAAACAGTGTTCAGGGGTGGAGCTGTTCTAATTCCACCACTGGTGTTGAAGCAATAAGCTCTAGAGGAGAGCTATTATGGATAATGACGCAGCCGAGTCTGCGATGTGCCCTCGACAGATGTCCGATTAGTTGAAGCCCATAAGCGGCGATGTTAACGGCGAGGTAAGCCGTCCGGTAGACATATTTTGCCACTCCTAAGTTCCAGTGGTTCCATATTTTTTAACCAGCTTCAAAAAGAATAATAGTTTCTCAGTTTGACTTGTATGTATGTAATTAGTATATTAAATATAGTATAATTAAAAAATATACTTCGGCACGAATGGGCCGGCTCGACCGGAGGAATACCACGGCCTCACAGAAGACCGACGTGAAACAACGTTTGCGTTGTGTTTCGTTGTGTACCTAAGTGAGGTTATCGGAGGCCCAATTATCGAACAAAGTTCTTGATCAATTTTTACAGAAACTTTCCTCTACACTGCACTGATCAAGACGTGAGTGGGACAAGATTAATTTTCATTCCAAGTCCATACGAATGAGGAGCCGAGATCACTAGCATCGTACCAACGATGGTAAAAATATTAGTAGGTACGAACCTACTAATATTTTTGTGATTAAACTAAATGTAAATTTATAAATATTATTTATATTACTAAAATATGTTTTAGTTTTTAGTTAGAATTTAAGGTACCGTAAAAAAATTACTGATCTAATTCCAGAATTTTCGCCTGATATTGTGTTATTGGATTCTTCGCTATTCCCATTCCCCACCATACTCTTTGACATGCATCCTTAAAAACAGTAAGTAAAAAGTTTATTTTACTTTTTGTTTACAATCTATGATTTTACATCTAAGTAACGCCGCGCCGTTGCCAAGCAGTTGCCATGACTATGTTATTGAGTTCCACATTCAAATGCTGTGTTCAAATGTGACATCAATACACTGCGAACTTTATCAAAATGTTTTTATTGGAATAGTTTTATTTGATAAAACTCATATTTTGTTAGTTTAACAATTGTTTTTTAGAAACTGACAATGGACGAAAGGGAATTGAGGAAGCTGGTGCAAACGAAAAATGGTTGCCGTGTGCCCATCTTGCGGCCTGTGCCAAACGTACAACAACTGGACAAGCTACCATTTGTTCCTCTACCACCGTACAATAGGATCAAGGTACCTACATTTATTTATAGTCACTATAACTACAATTTATTATCTTTGGTGCTGGTAATCTTGCTGGAAACGACTGCTATAAGTACTTCATACTTTTTATGCCCCAAATTGTCAGACAAACGAACTTAAGTAATTATATGTATTCACTTACATATTGTGGTATAAACACAATAGGTAATATCATGCCAGACCCAAAAATCGTAACCGTAATTGTTCATATAGAATACTAGATTAAAGAAAAAACATAGGTTCGGGAAAGTTGATTATACCATGACCATCACTGTGTATTATAAATATCGCCAAAAGAGAAAAGTGCCTAAATAATATTCGCCTGGTATATAGTACTTGCCTATTGCTTCATGTTTTTTTTCTTATCGTCGATTTCAGGAAAAGCAAGAAAGTTTTCGTAAAATTCTCGAGGAAAAAGCTACTGAAAGGAAAATAGAGGTAGCCCGACCACCTCTAGAGCGCCGTGAACGCGACCGGTTAGAAATATCACAATCACGACACATAGCAGTGTTACGAGTATGTGCACAAAAAATTCAACCCCCGCCCATGTCCAAAGACTGGGAACGCAAAATTTGTGGCCTCGTACCAGCCAAACTTCGTCACGCGTTCCCCACTTTAATGGACGAATTGATTAATGAAAGTAAAGTTGAATGGAACCGAAATCTCCATGAACTTGCTGTTAAAACAATAATAAGAGATAAACCTGGAGTTCCCAGGATCAGGTATCAAGAACCTTATTTTAAATATAAAGGCATTACAGAAAACTATGAAAAAATGCTCAAATTCCGTAAAAAACTAATCGATGGTGCTCTTATATTACATCCTTTTATAAGACTCGTACTTGAATCCTCAGAGCGAATTTTTCCAGAATATATTATTGATTTAGCCAAGTATAGGGCTATGGGTCCTTTAAAGTTAAAGGATTTTTTAGCAAAAGTTTTAGAAGAAATAAAACGGGCTGACTACCTCGTATCGAGCACTTGGTATGGGATCCTTGTTCATTGGCTTAAAAATCCAAGATGTTTGCGAGGCATGCGTCAAAAGAAAATACCGGATTTTGTGAGATGTGCTACCAAAATGATATCAATGCAAATTCAAGAACTAATGCGTAGATCTATAGAAGCTATTATAGACGGCCTTAAAGATCCAGAATCTGTCCTTATTTTGTATTTACAGTTAGATTTTGACGGAGAATTTATTTATGATCCTTCACTTCAGGAAGTTTACGACGTTTTTCACGATATTGCGAACATAATCTGCCACATATCTCAAAGACTTATGCCTATCGAGCAGTATCTTAAAATTCCATACAATTTCGATGCCTTGCCAGTTCAATATAACGACTGGCTTCATAGAGACGGCCATGAAAGACTCCAAAAACAATTAGATATAGTATTTGAACCTCTACTTCAGTATTTAGAGCAATTACGTATAGAATACAATATGTTGTACGGTGCTCCAGCGAAAGAAGCTATCTTCAAGTTTATTGAAGCAGAAGAAAAATTTGACATATGTCGGGACAAAATTAAATATTTTCAAGGTATAGATTCTGAAATCACAGCTATTGTGGAAAATGAATATTTTAATAGTGCAGTCGTCTGTCAACTAAGAATGGTAGACGGTTTGAAAGGAAAAGCTTTGGAGTTTGTAAATGATTTAATAGCGGGTATAATCAGCGCTCATATTAAAGAGAACGATAGCATCTGTGCTGCATTTGAAGAAATCAAAGAGAGAGCTCTTAGAGAGCCAAAAAATGCGGTAGAATTAATTGAACAAGGAGTTTATATCTTACACGCAAAAACTGTTTTAGTTGAAGCATTAAAGGAAAGAATTATGTCACAAATTAATATTATATCGAGTCTTCTTGAGATGACTTCACTCACAGAAGAACATGTAGCATCAAATACTAGAACTGTCAATTGGCTTAAAGATATAAAGCCTATTTTTGAAAGAAATGCTGCAGCTTATGAAGCTCATAAAGCGGATATGGAAGAAAATCTACTTGCCAAAATAGCATACCTCAACAAAGAGGTTGTTGAAATGATACCGTATTTAGAACTTTTAGACAATATGGATGATGTTGATCATACTCTTGAGTATCTGGAATACCTAAGAAAGCTAGTTCATCGACTAGACGATTGTGATAAACTTGTATCTTGGATTAACACCGAAGAAGCAACATTCAAATTTCCGATTACTAGTTATCCAGACTTAGAAGAATTAAAGGACTACGTAAAACCTTTTCACAGTCTTATATTCTTGGTTCATAAATGGAAGCGGAGCTATTATACGTGGATGGATGGACCTTTTGAATACATGGATCATGAACAGATAGAAATCGACCACGATTTTTACTACAAAGAATTTATAAAAATCTCGAAAAATTACAGAAATAAAATAAAGCAACAAATAGCTGAAGGAGTAGAAAAGCGTTTCCAAGGATTAGTAGATGATCCAGATCCCAATAATTTTCCGGCTCCAATGAAATTATGTTCCCAGGCTGTTGCGGAATTAAAAGAATGGAGACCTAATGTACAAATGGCTCATATAATGTGTAATCCCGCGTTAGTTCAGAGACATTGGGATGAAATGTCTACCATTGCTGGTTTTGATTTAACTCCCACGGCAGGTACCACATTACGAAAGATTATTGATTTCGATCTGTGGGGTGACATTGATCAATATGAAATTATAAGCATCGCAGCAACAAAAGAACTTGCTTTAATTACAAATTTAAATAAAATGATGGCTGAATGGACCGACATATGTTTTAAAACGAATCCATATAAAGACACTGGAATTAATATACTCACAGCACTTGATGATATTCAATGTGTTTTAGACGATCATATCGTTAAAACTGTTGGAATGAGAGGTTCAGCATTCGTCAAACCTTTTGAAACTCAAGTAAAGTCATGGTATGAAAAAATAGTAAGAACCAACTTAACAATAGATGAGTGGGGTAAAGTGCAAAGTCAGTGGTTGTATTTGTTACCCATATTTTCTTCTAAAGATATTGTCGCCCAAATGCCTGAAGAAGGAGTTATGTTTACGGAAGTGAACAATATATACCGCAGATATATGACTTGCGTAGAAAGGGATCCCCATGCGCTTGAGATAGCCGGTGCTTCCGGCGTGTTAGAAGCTTTTAAAGTTTGCACTGGATTACTGGATAAAATTAATGATGGTGTAAACAATTATTTGGAAAAGAAACGTTTGTATTTCCCAAGATTCTTCTTCTTATCGAATGATGAGATGTTAGAAATTCTATCAGAAACTAAAAACCCTCTTAAAGTTCAACCGCATTTAAAGAAATGTTTTGAAGGTATCCACAAACTGGTATTCGACGATGAGTTCAATATATCCGCTATGATTTCTATGGAAACTGAACAAGTCGAATTTCTAGAAACTATCAGCGTCCAAGCTGCAAGAGGATCTGTAGAGAAGTGGCTGGTACAAGTGGAGGACCAAATGTTAAAAGCCGTTAAATCAGAAACTGAATTATCTTACTATGATTATCCAAACACAACACGTGTCGGATGGATACTTTCTTGGGAAGGTATGGTAGTTCTAGCGATATCTCAAATTTATTGGGCCGTGGATGTACATGAAGCTCTAAATACCCATAAATTAAGTGAATTAGAGGCGTATCATAAGTCACTAACTGTGCAACTAAATGAAACAGTAGCAATAATTCGACGTACCGACTTAACCAAACTAAACAGTATTACAATAAAAGCTCTCATTGTAATTGACGTTCACGCGAAAGATGTTATCTTTGAATTAGTTGGCAAAAATGTTACTGAAGTGACAGATTTTCAGTGGCTAGCACAACTTCGTTACTATTGGGAAGAAGAGAAAGTTGGGGTGAAAATAATAAACGCTGTTGTCTCCTATGCATATGAATATTTAGGAAATAGCGATAGATTAGTGATCACACCATTAACTGATCGATGCTATCGAACACTTATTGGAGCCTATTACCTTCATATAAATGGAGCTCCAGAAGGACCCGCAGGAACTGGGAAAACTGAAACAACTAAAGATTTAGCCAAAGCTTTAGCCGTTCAGTGCGTTGTTTTCAACTGCTCAGATGGCTTAGATTATAAAGCTATGGGTAAATTTTTTAAAGGTTTGGCAGCCTGTGGCGCTTGGGCATGTTTTGATGAATTCAATAGAATAGACGTTGAGGTTCTTTCTGTAATTGCTCAACAAATATTATGTATTATTCAAGCAATAAGACAAAATTTACAAGTTTTTGTGTTTGAAGGCACTACCTTGAACTTAAATCCAGCTTGTTATGTTTGCATTACTATGAACCCAGGCTATGCGGGTCGTTCTGAGCTCCCTGATAATTTAAAGGTGCTCTTTAGAACTGTTGCCATGATGGTACCAGATTATGCCATGATCGGAGAAATATCTTTATATTCTTTTGGCTTTGTTGATGCTAGAAGTTTATCTGTAAAAATTGTCACAACGTATAGGTTATGTTCTGAACAACTATCATCCCAAAATCATTATGATTATGGAATGCGGGCAGTAAAAACGGTGTTGTCGGCTGCAGGAAACTTAAAAAGAGCTTTTCCCAATGAAAATGAAAGCATTTTACTTCTTCGATCTATAACAGACGTAAACTTACCCAAGTTTTTATCTTGCGATGTTCCTCTATTTGAAGGCATTATATCAGATTTATTCCCTGGCATAAAATTACCAAAACCAGATTATGTAAACTTTTTAAACGCGTGTAATGACACTTGTGATAGGAATAATCTTCAACCAATGGATTGCTTCCTTCTAAAAGTAATACAAACATATGAAATGATGATAGTGAGGCATGGCTTCATGATAGTAGGTGACCCTTTCTCAGGAAAATCAATGACACTGAAAATTTTATCGGAATCTTTGACATTGATGGAGGAAAGAAACCAACCAGGCGGATGTGAATGTACATATAAGGTCTTAAATCCGAAGGCTGTTACAATGGGACAACTTTACGGTGCATTTGATCCAATATCTTATGAATGGACTGATGGTATAGTAGCCACGATGTTTAGAGATTTTGCTACAGACGATTCTCATATCAAGAAATGGATTGTGTTTGACGGCCCAGTCGATGCCGTTTGGATTGAGAATATGAACACTGTATTAGATGACAATAAGAAACTCTGTTTAACTTCAGGTGAAGTAATGGCAATGTCTAGTGTTATGTCGATGATTTTTGAAGTAATGGACCTGGCACAGGCTTCTCCTGCTACTGTTTCTAGGTGCGGTATGATTTATATGGAATCGGTATCACTAGGTTTTATGCCGTTTTACAAATCCTGGTTAACTACATTGAATCCTATATGGTATGAAGAAAATGAAGATTATATTTATGCCATGTGTGAGTGGTTATTCGATCCATTAATTTATTACGTTAAAAAGGAGTGTACTCAATTGGTGACAGCTGGAGAAGTGAATTTATTAGTAAGCACGCTTCATCTAATCGTAATGTACATGGATAATGCCATTAAAGGTGAAGAAGATACGAGAAATACAAGAACTTGGTTTATTGCTTCGTTTATGAGTGCTATAGTATGGGGTATTGGCGGAATACTCAATACGGACTCTCGTGAAAAATTTGATAATTTAGTGAAAGAATACTTTAGGGGTGAAAAAGGTTTACCATCTACAATTGACCGGATTGATGTATCTATTCCCGCAGATGGCATGATTGTTGATCACTTTTACATGTATAAAGGTAAAGGGTGTTGGAAACCGTGGGTAGAATCTATGAAAAATGTCGTTGTAAAAGAACAAATTAATTTACTTCAGACTGTTATTCCCACTTTAGAAACAGAAAAATACTATGCCCTCCTAGATTTACATACAAAATTTAAGCAGCCTTTGTTATTTATTGGACCTACGGGTACTGGGAAGAGCTTCTTGATACAAAACTTTTTGATGAATCGCATTTCTATGGACCATTACACTCCTGGATTTATAACATTTACGACTACAACTTCAGCCAATCAAACACAAGAACTAGTGCTTTCAAAGCTCTATAAAAGACGAAAAAATAACTATGGACCATCAAAAGGTAAACAAGCTATAATATTTATTGACGATATGAACATGCCTGCCAAAGAAGTTTATGGTGCTCAACCAGCAATAGAGTTATTAAGATTGTTTTTCGACCAGAAGCACTGGTATGATTTAAGAACAACTGACAAACTATACATTCACGACACTTTTTTCTATGGAGCCATTGGACCAGTCGGTGGCAGTCGACAACTTATTTATCCACGAATGTTAAGGCATTTTAACATATACTCAATAAATGAGTTTTCTAAAGAAAGTATGACCAAAATATTCATGACTTTATTACAACTGGGTTGGAAAAGAAATGGATTCGGTCAAGATGTTCAGCCATACATAGTCAATATTATAGCAGCTACAATGGAAATTTATAATAGTGCTACAGAAGGACTAAGACCAACACCAGCCAAATCACATTACACCTTTAACCTAAGAGACTTTTCAAGGGTCATTCAAGGCTGTGCATTACTTAGAAAAGAATGTGCCGATAATAAAAAAACTTTTGTTAAAGTCTGGGTTCATGAAATTCTTCGTGTATTTTATGATAGGCTTGTCGACGATGATGACCGTGGTTGGTTTTTTGACGTTCTCAAAAAAATCACAAAAGACTTCATGAAAGATACATTTGAGAATGCCTTAGATATATATCAAAATGAGAAGGGAGAAGTTACTTGTGACACAATCAAATCAATGATGTTTGGAAGTTACCTAGATTCAGAAAGTCTCGAAGGAGAACGACGATATGAAGAAATGCCATCAAAAGAAGCTGTGCTAAACGTAGCAATCGCAATGCTGAATGAATACAACGCATTGCATAAAGCAAAAATGACCATTGTATTGTTTGACTACGCTTTGGAACATTTGTCAAAAATTTGTAGGCTTTTGTGTATGCCTTCTGGAAATGCTTTACTCGTAGGTGTTGGGGGTTCTGGACGGCAATCTCTTACACGTTTAGCGAGTACAATATTAGGTCTCCAGGTATTTCAACCAGAGATCACGAAAACTTACAGTGTGAAAGATTGGCACGATGATATTAAACTAGTTTTACGAGAATCTGGAGGCCTAAATAAAGATACAACATTTTTATTTACAGAAAATCAAATAAAAGAAGAAGTTTTTATTCAAAATCTTGACAGTTTACTTAACTCTGGCGAAGTTCCTAACTTATATGGTTTAGATGAAAAACAGGAAATTTTAGAAATGGTGCGTTTAGCTGCACAAGGTGGGAATAGGAACCTTGATATTAGTCCGTTACAAATTCTTGCATTCTTTGTCGGACGCTGCAAAGCAAAGTTACATATAGTATTATGCTTCAGCCCCATAGGAAGTTCCTTTCGAACAAGACTAAGATTGTATCCCTCTTTGGTGAATTGTTGTACCATTGATTGGTATGATAGCTGGCCTGAAGACGCTTTAGAAAAGGTAGCTCATTATTATATGGTTAAGGTTAATGTACCAGATAAAGTAAAACTGGCTGCTGTAATAGCTTGCAAACAGTTTCATGTGGATGCACGAACCATATCTATCGAATTCTACAATACACTTGGAAGGAAAACCTATATTACATCTGCTTCTTATTTGGATTTAATAAAATCTTTTACCTCGCTAACTAACAAAAAACAACGGGAATTGAGAGCAGCTAAAATAAGATATACAAATGGTTTAGACAAATTGGGACAAGCAGCAGATGCAGTAGCAATTATGCAACGTGATTTGAATGCTCTGAAGCCACAACTTATGATTATGGCTGCAAAATCAGCTAAGATGATGGAAGAAATAGAAATCGAAACTGTCACTGCCGATAAAGCCGCAGCTCAAGTCAGAGAAGATCAAAAAGTTGCAAATGTTCAAGCAGCAGCTGCACAAGAACTCAAAAAAGATTGTGAAGCCGATTTAGCTCTAGCGTTACCGATTCTAGAAGATGCTATTGCAGCTTTAAATACTTTAAAACCAGCTGACATTACTATTGTCAAATCTATGAAGAATCCTCCAGGGACAGTAAAATTGGTCATGGCTGCAGTGTGTGTAATAAAAGGCGTTCCGCCTGATAAAATTCCTGATCCAGCCAACCCTGGAAAAAAAATATTAGATTATTGGGGTCCAAGTAAACGAATATTAGGAGATATGAGTTTTTTAGAGTCGTTGAAAAATTTCGATAAGGATAATATCCCCATTGCTATTATGCAAAAAATTCGAAAAGAATATCTTTGCCATAAAGATTTTAAGCCCCATATTATAGCCAAAGCTTCGACAGCTGCTGAAGGCTTATGCAAATGGATAATTGCTATGGATATGTACGATGCCGTTGCAAAAGTTGTAGCCCCTAAGAAAGCCAAATTGGAGGCGGCTGAAAGAGAATTTGCACAAACTATGGCCATTTTAGAGGAAAAAAAGGCTCTTGTTGCCAGATTAGAAGCCAGATTAGCTGAGTTACGCGAAGCACTAGAAGAAGCTAATATTAAAAAGAAAGCACTAGAAGATGAAGTACAATTGTGTATCGATAAATTGGCTAGGGCTGAAAAGTTACTTGGCGGTTTGGGAGGTGAAAGGGTACGTTGGACTCAAGCTGCGGAAAATTTACAAACATTATTCGATCACTTAGCTGGAGATATTCTCGTGTCCTGTGCAATTATGGCTTATTTAGCCCCCTACACCTTACCTGTCAGAATAAAAATGATTGATCAATGGCGTGATTTAGTTATAAAGTTAAAAATGCCACATTCTGAAGTTTTCGTATTTAAAGACATCTTAGGCACTGACATCAAAATTCAGAATTGGTGCATTGCTGGATTACCCAGGGATTCATTCTCAGTTGATAATGGCGTCATTCAAGACAACTCTATGCGGTGGTCATTAATGATTGATCCCCAAGGTCAAGCAAATAAATGGGTCAAAACCATGGAGAAAGCCAATGATTTACAAGTTTTAAAATTTACAGACGGGAATTACATGAAAGTGATTGAAACTTGTTTAGAGTATGGAAAGCCTGCTCTAATTGAATGCGTACTCGAAGATGTAGAAGCGCCGTTAGATCCCATTCTACTTAAAAATACATACGTTCAAGCTGGTAAGGAATATATCGCCCTTGGGGATAATGTGATTGAGTATCATCCGAATTTTAGACTTTACATGACAACTAAATTAAGAAATCCACATTATTTACCCGAAGTTTTTAATAAAGTGACGTTAATCAATTTTGCACTAACTAAAGATGGATTAGAAGATCAGTTATTAGGTATAGTCGTAGCGAAAGAACGACCGGATTTACAAGAGAAAAGAGAAAAGCTTATAGTTCAAAGTGCAAGTAATCGAGCTGCATTAAAACAAGTAGAAGATGATATCTTGCGAACCCTACAAGAAACGAAAGGTGATATATTAGAAGATGAAACTGCCGTTGAAGTGCTGGACTCGTCAAAATTATTGTCTGTTGATATTATGAAAAAACAAGAAGCTTCTTTAGAGACTGAAGTCATAATAGAGAAATTCCGCCATGGCTATCGACCAATTGCTTCACATTCTGCTGTCCTATACTACTGTGTCACCGAATTACCTAATGTAGATCCTATGTATCAATACTCATTATTATGGTTCATTAATCTTTACATTATTTCAATTGAAAATGCTAATAAATCTAAAGATCTTGACAAAAGATTAAAGTTCTTAAAAGAAACCTTTACTTATAATTTATATAGTAACGTATGTAGATCATTATTTGACAAAGATAAGCTTATGTTTTCGTATGTTATGTGTTCTAAAATGATGCTTGCTAATGGAGAAATGAACTTGGACGAACACGTTTTTCTTATAACTGGCGGTATTGCAATAGAAAATCACTTACGTAAACCATTTGAATGGTTACCCGATAAAAGTTGGGATGAAATATGCCGAATAAATGATCTACATACATTTTCAGGATTCCGTGACGATTTTATTAGAAATGTAAATCTATGGCAAGAGGTTTATGACGACATGGAACCACACAACAAACGTCTTCCGGGAATATGGGATAGCAGTTTGACTCAATTTCAAAAACTATTGGTTGTAAGAATTTTAAGGCCTGATAAATTGACAGCAGCCATATCGGACTTTGTAGAAAAGCAAATGGGTCGAAAATACATAACACCACCGCCCTTTGATATAGGTAAATCATTTGGCGATTCTAATTGTTTGGCACCATTAATATTCATATTATCTCCAGGCTCAGACCCCATGGGCGCATTAATAAAATATTGTGAACGAATGGGTTACTCTCATAGATTTAATTCGATATCTTTAGGTCAGGGTCAAGGACCCATTGCACGAGCAATGATTGAAAAAGCTCAACTTGAAGGTGGCTGGGTCTGTTTGCAAAACTGTCATTTAGCAGCATCGTGGCTTCCAACCCTTGAAAAAATTATAGAAGGTTTCGATTTAACAAATACAGATTTAAGTTTTAGATTATGGTTAACAAGCTATCCATCCGATAAGTTTCCACAAGCTGTGTTACAAGTAGCTGTTAAAATGACAAACGAGCCACCAACGGGTCTCCAACATAACTTAAACCGTTCTTACATATCTGAACCTGTAAAAGAAACTGAATTCTATGAAGGGTGCCCTGGCAAAGATAAAGCATTCAGCAAACTGTTATACGGGATCAGCTTTTTTCATGCTGTTGTACAAGAAAGAAAAAAATTTGGGCCATTAGGATGGAATATTCAATACGGTTTTAATGATTCCGATTTTCAAATATCTGTAATGCAGTTACAAATGTTTTTAAATCAATATGAAGAGATACAGTATGTAGCTATTAAGTATTTGACAGGCGAATGTAATTACGGTGGCAGAGTGACCGATGATTGGGATCGTCGTTTAATAGTAACAGTTTTAGACAACTATGTAAATGCGGGTGTAGTAAATGACCCAAATTACACGTTTTGTGATATTGGCCCGCAATATGGGTTACCACGAAGATGTGAATATCAAGATTATCTAAAACATATTGAAAGCGTTCCTGTAAATCCTCCTCCTGAAGTATTTGGACTGCATATGAATGCAGGAATAACTCGCGACTATACCACGTCTATGGCATTAGCTCAAGCATTGGTTCTCGTAGAAGGCGGTGGCGCTGGTGGAGAGGGTGGCAATACAGAAGTCCTCCTAGTTCAAATGTCTGATGAAATTCTATCTAAACTACCTGAAGGGTTCGATGTAGAAACTGCGCAAAAAAAATACCCCGTGGACTACAGTGAATCCATGAATACAGTATTAATTCAAGAGATGGAACGGTTTAACAAATTATTGTATGAAATTAGAGATTCATTACTAGATTTACAAAAAGCTGTGAAAGGTCTAATTGTAATGTCTTTGTCATTGGATTTGCAATCAAATGCAATGTTACTGGGAAGAATTCCTGACAATTGGCGTAAGGTTTCCTATCCTAGTTTGAAACCACTTCCTAGTTACGTAACAGACTTTATTGATCGATTAGCTATGTTGAATGATTGGTATCAAAAAGGGAAACCACCGACATTTTGGCTGTCTGGCTTTTTTTTCACTCAAGCTTTTCTCACAGGATCCATTCAAAATTACGCAAGAGCAAAAAAAATTCCTATAGATTTATTAATATTTGATTTTGAAGTACGTCATACAGATTTCGAGGACCAGCCACCCGAATCAGGTGTATATGTAGAGGGACTCTTTATGGATGGTGGACGTTGGGATCGAGATAATTATGCGATTGCAGAGCAATTCCCAAAATTACTCAATGACAATATGCCAGTCATCTGGCTTTTCCCTAAACTGAAAAAGCAGTTTGAAGAAGGAACGAGATACAAGTGTCCATTATATAAGACTTTAGAAAGAAAAGGAGTATTGGCTACAACTGGACACTCATCTAATTTCGTGTTAGCGTTTTATTTGCCATCTAATAAACCTTCAGCCCATTGGATCAAAAGAAGTGTAGCATTATTGCTTCAATTGGACTTTTAAAACTTATGGGAGGTATCCACGAACGTTTTATTTCAGTGTGTGTTTTTATATATAACTATTTAAGTCCCATGTAATGTATTAGTAAATCAACGGGGCGAATTAATTATTATCAAAATTTCGAGCACCAGTTTACTTGCTCATTACATTAAGTACTAGAGCTCGGATTATAATATGTATTATGTTATTATGTATCATTAAATTTCCTAAATGTGTATGCACCATAAAAAACAAAAAAAATACAAAGGAATAGGTACCTACTTATGTAAGATTTTTGAGAAAGCATCTGTTTTTGGTGAACCGAGCGAGCTTTGATATCGAATTTGTGAGTTACATACAGAACTTGCAAAATCGCACTACTAATTATTAAATCTGCGGAAACATCATACAAAGGGTCTAAAGTAAAGTTAAAATCATTTACATATTTCGATTAGACCAGAAAGGCACTTTTGAACGTTAGCAAAAAATCAAAGTGAAGCTATTTGCTCATTCCAAGATGTAGATTCCTATGGAGAAGAACGAGCAAGAAACTCCATAGTACATAAGCAAGACCATGATAAACTAGTTATTTTACAATTAGTCACGTTCTTTTTATTACTTGATGATGTAATAAACTATATGTATGTACATGAATAAAAATGGATCCCTATATTCCTTGGTCACGCCATCACACACTGAATAGCTGGACCGATTTCACTAAAATAATCCAATGACTTAATTGCACGGTTGGCGCAGTGGCTGGGCAAATGGCTGCCGTGCAAATGTGTTCCGTGCGGGTTCGATTCCCGCACGGAACAATTCTTTAATTGATCCACAGATAGTTATGTGCTGATCCACAGAAAATTAGTCACCATCCCTATCGTAATCAATGAAATCGACTGTAACTAGAGGTTTGGTCGAATGTGTAGCTTTTATTTATTTAACTCTATTTATAATAGAAATAAATATTTGAATTTATGTATTTAAGAGTGTTTTTATTTCGTTTAATGATCACGGTGATGATCAACCTTGATATATTCGCGGATGTCGACATCCTCGGTTGAAATGGTAATTTGTCTAGCGTGAGAATATGGCTAGCGATTCACAACTTTCCTTCCTAAAGTGTGACTCACACCTTGCCATCAGTGTACGTAATGCTGGAAATATGTTAACCACACACACAACCTATGTGTCTTGGCGCGCTAGAAGCCAATCGGTTCCATACTACATTTACTATAGATATTAAAGGCACACTTGTACCCACAGAATATATAAAGAAGCTTGTACCTATGAATTCCGCGTGGGTCGCCAAAATGCTTACAGCTCTACTTGGTTACGCCACTTCACAACAGTCAGTACATACCTCTACCAGTACTGGATTTATAAATATGCCGTATTGGCCGTATAGGCTGCGGGCTAGGGGCGTCAGATTTCAGAAGACGGTCACTTGATTTAAAATGATAAAAGTCAAACATGCACACTAGCTTTTTATGGTTTTTTATGCTTTAAATAAATCCCCATAGAAACTCATTCTTATCAAAACCTAGTGAGTAATAGATGAGCAGTGCGTCTCTCATCGATTTCTAGCCGCAGAAGGCCTAACGGGTTGTCGGGGCTGCGGCTCGAAGGGCAGGAGCAGGAACGGGGTGGTTTTTAGTCAGTAAGAGTCTGACACTCCGTCTCGCCTGACCCAAGGCTGGAGAAGTCATTAAATGATTCTCCCCCCCCCCCCCTCATAAAAAAAGTAGGTACGTATATATGTATATGGCCTACACTCACAATATAAATCCGGCACTGATCTCTACGTTGTAGATAGCTTGTAAGTTGAAATTAGGAAGGATTTTTTAAGATGCAGTCGCGCATCCAGGTTCACCATTTATAAACAAGTTAAAAATATTACTAACACTTTATTATACTACTGAAAAAAATAGAACAAAAAGGTTATATTACATTAGTGTTCATAGGTAGTTTGGTTATTATCCTTGTTATCGATCATTTTGGTCACATTGTTCCTCTTCATTACTTCGCGTCTTGTATTTTCAACCTCGAGCAATCTTTTTCTCAATTTTAACATGATAGCGTTATTTCGTTTCTGAAATAAAATGTTTGACCTTTTAGACTTCTATTTATATTCTTGCCCCAGTGTTGCAACCCCCAAAAACTTTACAATACGTAATCTTTACAGAGACGATGATCAAATAATAAAGTCTACGACCGATAGTGGCTTGGGACTATTTGATAAAGTTAAAAGTGTATCCTAACCGGGTGCATTCACATAATGTAATGTAACGTTACGGATTCGAGGCTCGAACATTGGGTATATAACTTATTAAGAGGAGAATCGACGTGATATGTAGATGCTGCAGTTAGGCATTGTAAGTAGTATAGTACCTAATGATCAAATGTAATCACACAAATGTTCTTTTTAAAAGTTATTCGAACTGTTACGAGAGTCCTTTAGGATTTCTTTTTAAAAAAAACTAATTTTATATTAGAACTATTTTAATTAGTTAAAGGACTGAGTATACAACCGTACCGTTCGGAGATCTTGTCCAGACTGAGGGGTCTGGCATGCCACCTTACACGCTAAGATATAATAATGATGACGATGTAGTTTTATGTCATCCCAGCATAAACCCTTACATATCAGGGATATAACAGAACGAAACATCCAATCCACCTATACGGTTGTACCCACTTTTAACACTGCGCATTCCTTTTCGATAGCTTCGCATTCTTCTTCGATTGCTGCAACTTCTCTATCCTGCCGTTCATTTTCTTCTGCTAACTTCTTCTCTTGTTCTCTCAGTTCTTCTAGATGTTTTGCTTCTTTCTCTTTTTGTTCTTTGATACGCATTTCTAATTCCCTTTGATCTATAAAATCAGTAAAAAGGTGTATTAATTTACGGTAGATTATTATAGTTTTTTACGCTTCATTGTAGAGTAGATGCCAATGTTAAGTATTTCACTTCTAATCTTATTCGGAAGTCAAATTAGTATCAATATTACAATTATTGAAAAGGTAACTTCAAAGCGTTAAGATTTATTAAAAGAACTTAATTTTAAAATGTTCCGGAGCTGTGAAGCATAAATAGGAACGGGGTGCTTTTTAGTCAGTAAGAGTCTTACACTGTCTTGTCACACCCAAAGTGCGAAAGTCGTTGGATAATTTTCCCCTCAAAAAAAGGGTAAAAGTAATATCAGGCGCTGGCAACACTAAGACTACGTGCAGTAACTGGAACACGAATCAATAATTTATCGTTTAGTTGGATAAACTAGTCTTGGACGTTTCGAGAGATTGCATAATGCTTCTATGTACCTAAAGTAAATTGATAGTTTAAACTGTCAAACACCAAGCGGTCACCGGTGACCGCAACCTATTGTTCTATAATTGTGTCTACAAAACCGGTACTCGACGAGTTAAATACTAAAATCAAGCTTTCCTTCATAAATGGCCTCGTCTTAGGAGAAATGGACATAGGTAATGAGCCTAAACGATACGATTGTCGGTAGCGATTCTAGTGCAGTACAAAAAGTGAAAATCTTGTATGGGGTAGTTTAAACGTTTTTCTATTTTGTACATCCAGCAAAAGTACCTACAGTTAAGTGTTCAAATATTTTGAAACTAAGATGTCTTGTTGGTGCAATAGTGCTTGTTTTTGTGTTGCTCTTGTTTAGTTAGAATACCTAACTAAACAAGAAAGCGACACAACACTATACGATAAAAGTGTCTCGGTGAAATAGGGTCCTAGGCAATTATTAAAACTACACGATGTCCTGTAACTTTTAAGTGCAGCACTATTAGTTTATTCAATCGTCCACCTTTATTTTAAAATATCATGTACAGTTGGTCGTAGTACAAAAACGATGCACTAGATTTTACAGAATAACAAAGTTGTTATTGATTTTCAATAATATTGCCATATGCTACTAATTTTCCTGAAAGTCGGCAATATACTTAGGACAAATTTACTTGATGCAATTTTAGGTACCTACAAAATTGAACTAGCATGATATTGAATATACTTTTTTAACCGACTTCATAAAAAGAAAAGAGGTTTCAGTTCGACCTGTAGGCTGTATGTAACCGATCAAGTGTAATAAATAAGGCCGGTTACGCACTTGTAACGCCTCTGGTGTTCCAGGTGTCGATGGGCCATGGGCGACGCCGTCACGCCGATTGCTTACCATCAGGTAATCCGTCTGCTCGTTTACCGGCTTATGACATAAAAAAATGTGTGTATGTTTGTGCGCGATTATCTCGCTGCTGTTGGCTGAACCGATTTTGTAGTGTTGAGATACGATATACAGAAAAGAGTTTGTTACAGAGGAGGTTTTAGTAGGTACGTATATTAATTAACCGAGTTCAAAGAAAGAGGGGGTCGAAGTCGATTTTTTTTACGTAGTACGTTACGTATTATATTTATTTGATGGGTCGACGTTTGGCCAGTATCTAACTATCACTATCAAATAAATATGGGTATGGGTTAAACTTTTGTTTAGCCGTGTCTTGCTTGAACACATATTTTTCACAACCGATAGGTCCGTATATTAAATGCATCTTCACTGACCTCTATCAAACAGCTGTTGGAAACCTCTCAGGTGTTCATTGAGAACATCAATATGTGCTCCAATTTTCAAATCTTCAGACACCTTACACATTTCGATCATCGTAATCTGATGCTTACTTTGAGCTATTTGATTCTTCAAATGCTAAATAAATTAAATACAGCGATTATATTTGATTTTAACCAGTTAGGCTATTTTGTAACTTTCAATTTGAAAGATCGTAATGAACTCTGTAGCCATCAGCCATGTCATTGGTTATGAGATTCCAAGGATCTCGACCAATGACATGTTAAAGTTCGAATTGTCAGTTACAGAATAGCTTAGCAGGTTTTTAGGTAAGTTCTAGGATACCTGTGCACCTAATATAGGTATAGTAGGTCATCATAAGCAACACCAGCCTTTAAATTGTCCCACTGCTTTAACACGCCTCGACAAGACCACTTCTCAAATGGGAAGGAATAAGCATAAAGCACCGAGACCGCTCAAGCGACGGCGATTTAAAAAAAGTTCTAGGTGTAACTCTAAATAGTCCAAGTTCCAT